AGATATTATTTAAAATACCATCATAACAATATATAATAATAAACAATGTTTAATATTATAAATATTTCGTTTTATTTTCAAACTAATATGAGAAAAAATAAAATTAATTCTAAACATTGAAAATTGATCATTATTAAATGTCATCCCAAACGTGATTTAGGCAATATGAGCCGTCACTTTCCTATGGATCTTTAGAATAGTATGGTTACATGCATACATGTATGTCTATGCATACATGTGGACCGGTGACAAAGTACACAGCGTGCCGTGTCAAGACGTAGCAGTTTGTATTATTAATTAGTCCGTTTAAAGATTTGTAGAAAAAAGCATTCCTACTAATAAGATCGCTTATTTCGTTACAGAGATCTTTGAATTCTAACAGGTCTCTCAAAAAAATTGGAGGTGATGATTTAATTCATATTTAATGCATACGTCACAGTACATGATTGATAGCCATCCGTGCAGCACCTGTGCTCTTCGTTTTAACGTTTTATTTTTTTCACAATTATTATCTGATACCAATTCGATTTATAATACTACATCTGTTATTCTTTTATTATGTAATTTATTTTTGAATTATTTCTTTAAAAGTAATACGTGGGGCTTGAATTGTATTGATCACATACACGTAATTATTTTTTATGAATGTTTAAAATTAAAATACCCTGAACACCAGTTCTAGTCATTAAACTCGAGTAATTCGAGATTTTTGGTGTTAAAAACAGGATACATACAACTATAACATTTTACACATTTTGCGAGTGTACCTGTAATGTTACCTAATCAGTTTTTATTAGTTTTCTATTATTTTTTTAATTTTAATTTATAACGTGATTTCATTTTATCTAGAAAAATTAAAAAGTTATTATCATAAATTTAATTTAAAGTATAAATTATAACGGATGCATCTAAATTTGAATATTATCATTATAATTTTGGCAATACAAAAAAAAAATAGCTGGTTTCGAAAACAAAAGAATTAGAATACATTTCAATACCTGAAAATTGTTTATTAAAACTGTGCCTATTAAAAAAGATTAATAAACGCGAGCGTTAAATAATTTCATTTCGTCACGTATTTATTCGCACTCTTTTACGATTTCGATTGACATTTTGCAAAATAAAAATTTTCAAAAGATTAGCTCCATCTATCAGTAAAAAATTACTTGACAAAAGGGTGCGAGCGGCACGACTACGAAAAAAAAAACAGTATAGATGTTAATCAACCGGCTTTAAATGACCTAGTCGAACACGGTGAAGGAAATTCCAGTTCAACTGAACTACACATTGCCGTCGAGACAGAAGAATCATCAAGAGCCGATTGTCCGACAACCTCTGAAAACAATCATTATCTACCGGCATCCAAATAAGGGAAAGAAAACGAAGATTATTGTGACATCTATAAATGTGAAAGTGACTCGTCTGTGTCAAGTGGAACATCAGGTATTACTATACCTTCGCGCCAGTATTCGCGTGGGAACCATTTATATCCTACGGCTTCGGAATCGTCAGTCGAATTCGACGGATGGAGTATCGGCGAATCAATCGCCGATGAAAATCAGGAAACAAAATTCAATCGGTTCGTCGCACGAAAACGATTATAATTCGGCGTCAGAAATTTCAGAAGTAAACGAAAGTGATAGTGATGACGATGTTAGTGCGTCTACTACGGGTATGATCTTTTTCGGGTACCTTTGCGGCGTTCAGAAATGTTTGGCCCGGAAATCAGGTATTTCCTTCCAACGTATTATGTCCGCATATATCTTACTGGCGGCGGACAAAAAACGGTCACGAGAGCCGAATATTCGTACAGGAAATTATGTTGTCAAACGGCTTCAGAAACGTCCATTAAACTCGACGAAAGAAAAAATGGTTCGGAATACTCTGTAGATGAACGTACCGAAATGTCTGGTCCGTCCACCGAATAACGGTTCGACCAAAATACTTTACGATCGTCTAAACAGGTTTGATTACAATTATTATACAGTCGTATATTGCAATTCAAATTTTATACAATTTTCCTATACTGTTTTATGTAAAATTGTAGAGGAATTTTTTGAATTTTAAAAATGTCACTATGGAATAAGTAATTGAAAAACGTGTAACACAATTGGCTAAATAATTATGGTTATGTATGCTGTCTTATGAAGTTTATCCTGCTTTAAACATTTATCTATTACATTGAAATACATTTAGCTGCTATATATAAAAAGTTTTTGTTGAGGAACGAACGGGAAATATCACTCTGCTGCGCTCTAGTGATGAAATGCAAATACATTTAAAATTATTAAATTTATAAATATATTTATGGTGTACAACATTTTAATAATTTTTTTTTTAATCGTTTTAATTCTTTCTCGATTCACACTCCTGGACCACACTGTTTCATTCGCATACTCAGGTTATATTTAATGGAATACGCAAAAATGTCATACTTGTGATCCGAACATGGAAAATTAAATCTTCGAAAATGTTCAATCAAATTATCAACAGTTTTTTCCGTACACATCTGGACTGGCTCTGATAATAGTATTAATGTGAGGCATCGGTTATGTTATCTTATGATACCAATAGAGAGCGCTACTACATTAGTTCCGGAATTTGTCCGCAAAAAATCGTGTTTTTTTTCCGTTGAGAGTTGCCTGACCACGGTCTTAGAATAATAGATGAGACAACTCTCACATTAATTTTCAAATTAGCCGAACAAAAGTTAAATGCTATTCTGTAGTAATGCTTGATTCTCTGTACAACGACGAACATAATTTGACATACTTAATATTTCTTAGTTCATTGCCAGGAGAAATTCAGAGAGTAAACAAATTATTTAAATCTGAATACGCAGATCATCAATTAAACTGGGGAAAGAATTGCATTCATTAACTAAATTATTTGGAAAAATGATTGTTTTGCCTTCATTTAATTTCATGGAACCTACTAAAAATTTTTCTCTTATTTGATTCCAAAACCTTGTTTCGAATTCGGTTTTGTAAATAAAGTTGAAGAACTGCAGAAATCTAATTAAATGCCTATTGATCTAGAAAATCAATTAAGACAAAGGTAAAACGTTTTCTTATTGCTAATGTAAAAAAAACTTCAACATATATTGTCTGATGATATTCAGATTTTAGATGAAGTTGAAATATTTTCACCATAAAATATTTTAAGATAATTGAAAGATAGTGCAATTTTAATATGTAAACATTTTAAACTTAAAATGCAATAATTGAAAAAATATATTTGAGATGGAAAAAAAAAATTGAATGAATTGGAAAAATATTAACGATGAAGTACTATTTTATGCATTTACAAATACCACTGGAATAAATCCATTTAAAAAAGTAGCCAATTTAGCTTTAAGTATTTTATCATTACCTTGGTCAAAATATGTATAAGAACGGATAATAAGTCAAATTAATTTTGTAAAGAGCAAAAAAAAAAAAAGAAGAAAAGAAAAAGAAAAAAAAAGAAATAAAAAGAGAAATAGAATGAATTCGCAAACGTTAACATCAATGTTATACATCTGGTAAAAAAAACATTTTGCCATGATTTTAAATTGAGTTATTCAGTAGTTAGTGATATTGGGACAGTAAATATTTATAACAGTCACAATGAGACAGATAATAATGGAAATCAAAAACTGTTTACTGAAATATTATTTTAGTTTTTTAAGTATATAAATTGTTATGATCTAATATTGTTATTTAATAAATTTTTAAGTGAAAAAGAAACTACACAGAAGACCATTAAATGTGATACTTATTTTTAATACTTGTTTTTATCAATTATTTTTTTCTTAAAAAATATAAAAATAATTATAACTTTATGGATATTTGAAATGTATTATATTTTTGAATTTGTAAAAGGAATTGTTGTTTACTAAATAGGTATTGAGTATGAGTATAACTCTGTAATGGTTAAAAGTAAATTTGAACACTTACTTTATTTAAATTTGTTAAGTACCTAATTTTTTTTAAGTATTTTTAAGTATTTGTTATATTAAGAATCTCTCTTAGTGTAAAGTATTGCCAGTTATTTAGTATTATTTAAATTTAATGTTTGAAAATAAAATTGTAAAGATTGTATTTTAATTTGTTTTTTTACTTAATAATGACATAAATGATGTTATTGACGATATTTATTGTATTTTTTAGTAGAATTGAATGGTAATTATTACATTTTACAGGAGTAGGTATTCAAATAAATTAGAAATTACATTTATTAATAAGTTAATTTTGTAAATCATTTTTGTTTCAAAAAAAATTAACATGTACTTAAAAACAATTAAATATACACCTATAAATTATTAAATTTTACAGGTAGTACATTTTACAGGAGTAGGTATATAAATAAATTAGAAATTACATTTGTTGATAAGTTAATTTTGTAAATTATTTTTGTTTTAAAAAAATGTGAGTAGGTTTTGGTCGACCATTCTTATTGAGTGTTGTATCTGAGCCGATGGACCCAATTTTTTATAAATATTTATATTAAATCAATTTTTATACCATTTATTATTATTAATGAGCTGTATAGGCCACTGAATAAGTACAATTTTTATTTATTAATATTGAGCCAATCAAGCAATTTTGTATAATATTTTACATGTTAAATAATCACAGTCGATCATAATTACATACTGAACATATTCAGTTATTATTATATTCCCCGGTGAACAAGCCAGCCCTTTAATATTAAGAGCACTTCCTGCACCAAAATATTGTATGCACGCCGAAGTAATTCTATAAAAAGTACAACCGAATATGACTATGTAAGCAACAAATAATTTATAATAGAATTACATTTGATTGGTGTTAAGCAGTTGTTAAACAGTTAAACTAATTCGTTATAATAAATTCAAACAACGCCGTACATTATTATTAAACGTACCTACCCTAAATTTAATAATAAATGACTAAACATTTTGAAAATCTTTTAAATTCAAGTAAGTAATTATAACGTATAGTAATAATGTAATTGTTCTTCGAATGAAACATAATATTTTATTCCATTTCTTTTGTTTGTGTAGAGTTGGAATTCAGCAATACAGTCACAACCGAGTATGACATGTTCATCACCTGCAAATTATGATTAAACGTTTTAATTAGTATACAATCAAAAACAGTTTTTAAAACACAAAGAGCAACATTCTCTAGCTATATGAGGAGATAAGATTTAAGAAGTCTACAAATCAAAATCTTCATTAATTATTATTTAAGGTGTTTTCCGTCCATAATGATTACTTTTAGTTTTTAATCTCAATCATGAGATTCAATTAAATATTTATTTTATAATATTGGTGAATATCGGAGGATTCGTTTGAATATTTTTTCATATTCAGAACTATTTATCATCCGGATGTGCATAACTTGGAAACATAAAATAATATTTTTATTTCCATTTTGAATTCATAATTATCATATTATATCTTATATACCACTTAACTATCTGCATACGTTGCATACGTATATGAATATATTTGATAACAGTAAATAGTCGCGTACCTTAGAGAACATTTCTAGATTAACGATTGAAATTGGCGTGATTTTCATCAATCGCTGATGGGCCGCGTTCATTTTCATTGTCGCCAACAGTGTCCTTTTGAACTTTATACTCATCGCAGTCCAATTACTACTGTACAGTCCGAAATTCACCACATTTTTCTGATAAAATATTCGAATGATGTACCATGTTTATTACATGGAAACGTTTCGACTTGCAGTGACATATTGTTACTTTAGTTATTTTACCTTTGTTTCAATGTGATTGAACGCGTAGCAGTAAATGTAAAGTTCAATAGTAAGAGAGGCCATGCCGGAGAAAAATTTCAAAATCGGTAACGATTTAATCGACCAACCCGTGAAATACATCTTGATTAAAATTTAAAGGTGAAAAAAAATTATTTCCTATTTCATTAATAAAATAATATGCATATCGAAAAATACTTACCAATAGGGTGAGGTATATTAATGTAATTACCAAGAACGAACCGTTTACTATTTGAACTAGGATTACCGGCTGAACGATGTCGAAAAAATCATTGAATTTCCTATAAAAATACGCGGTAAAATAAGAACACGACGATGATATTGCGTTGGTAATCAAAATGTTTCATGTTATATCGAATTGATACATAGATTTGATTCGATATTAGTGTTTAATAATTATTTGAACAAGATTTTATACTCACATCATTATACGTTGATTATCTTTAATGTGTAGTATCAAGTTATCATAGTGATCCAGCTCGAATCCATCGTTATTTTCACGAATGCCTGCGAACGTGTTGAAAAATATTACGTATATATGTGTATCATCCGTTTTGGTTCGTACATTAAAGTTTGGGCGGAGACGGAATGTGGAAAAAAACGACATGAGTTTAACAAGATTAATAAACGGGTACGGAAGATAACGACGAGAATGATCTAAAATGACTATCATCGGGCTCTGTGCACAATGTACTTCAGGGCCGTCAAGAAAACGATGATAACACCTGCGTGGCACGGACGCTCGCAGAAACGTAGCTCATGGAGGTGGGGAGTTTCCAATTGTACGCTGGGCGCCCCGATACGAGCCGACACCGGCTGTGTGTATAAAAAAAAATTCTCGTTCCATTACCGACGCGTATAAAACTCAGGAGGGTAATACGTCCCGCGTTCCTGCCCCTGTGACGTTCCAACCCCATCGGTGCACACTTACCAGAGTGGCGATGCGGCGACGGCGACCATGCGAGCTTCTCGTAAGCGGCCGCGATGGTGTGGAACTGGGCGTTGAGCACGAAGCACATGGTGACCAGGTAGCAGTCGAACAGCGCCCAGAAGAACACGTTGACGGTGATCAGGAACACCTCGATCGCGTAGACGACGGCCCAGACGGCCGTCGCGTTGTACACGGCCACGGGCAACGGCGTCCACAGGTTGTTGACGTTCATGCGGTACTCGGCCATGGTGCCGTCGCCATTGGCCACCGGCACGCGGTCGTCCGTCAGCCACGGGATCGCGATCCATATGGCCAGCGTCTGGTAGCTAACCGCGACGAACGCGCGGAGCAGCGCGCGCAGCAGCGACCCGGCGCGCCGCAGCTCCGACTCGTCCCGGCCGGCGCACGTGATGAACGCGTACCGGGCCACGTGCAACGTGTCCCATATCAGGTCCGCGTTCGCCACCATCACGTGGCCCTTGTACACGGACAGCGTGCCGCACACCACCAGCATGGCCATGTTGATGAACCGCTGCAGGTCGCCGGCCGCGAAGTACAGCCCGAACAGCTGCGTGGACTGGAACGCGAGCGCCAGCAGCAGCACGGCCCGCAGCACGGGCCGGTACCGCTTGCCCGGCCGCAGCAGCTGGTACAGCCCGATGGCCTTGAACAGGAGCACGTCCACCGCGGTCTCCGCGTCGTCCACGTCCCGCGCTCCGTCCCTGAACGGTGCACGCGCGCGTTAGCGACCCCCTGGCCACCGGTCGGAGCACGGAGCCTCCGGAACGAAGACACCGGGCCGGTGGCAGGGCGCGAGAGAACGGGAAACGCGACGGGTTCTCCCTACAACTACGGACCGAGTGTTAGCTCTTGGAGCTGCTCTCACGAGACGCAGGGGTTCGGCGTTCTCGTGTCGACGTGTACTGGATCGTCTAATGAGCGGGTAAGAGACCAACGGCCCCGGGGCAACATGACGCTCTGCGACGACGCGCCTGATGTCCCATCAATCACCTTGGTCGAATAGGAGTTTGTCCTGAGGTCATCCTCAGGTAGGGCTGTATTTCGATGTGTTAGGACGACCCTTAATAATGTACAATAGGAAATAGCTGGACACTGTAGTATCACGTGATGTAATGTTAAAGATTGTATTATTTATGAACATTATATGTAGATTGTATAATAGTTGAAATCACCTTTGTAATTGATTAATCGCATTACGCAATTAATCTGGGTAATAATATGGATTTTGCTGGTTAGTTAATAAAATATTAGTATATAAGAAGAGCCGATAAATTACTCGGAGCCTCACTTTTTATTTTGTTCTTGTTAAAAACTAAGGTAATCCGTATGTGGAGATCTAAAGTCCAAACTTTACTCGTGTAGAAATTATTAAAATATTATATTGTAATTCTAATCGTCGTTGTGTTATTTTATTTATATAATCTAGTTAGCCTATTCAACAGGCTCACTACATCACTATGCTTCTTAAGCTGGGAGCCACGGCTTCCTAGGGCAGTGCTTCTCAATCTTTTTTGTTGTAGGGTCCCTTATATTTAATGTAATACTGTCAAGGTCGCCCTCAATCAAAATCATAAATAATTAATTATTGTTTATTGTTAATGATAAACGAAATATATATGCTTTATTTCACACAGATAAATTATTAAAATGTGAAGAAAATAAATGTTTTTTAATTTTTTGAAAGGTAACCCTATAATTGTATAAAACTTAAAACATATATAAACAAAAAATAATTGATAATTATTATAAAGCAATACAAAAATATTCAGAAATAATGTTAATTTGGTTTCAAACAAAGGCTAGGTTAATAGGTTAATAATAATAATAATAACAATAAAAATAAAAAAAATTATAATTATTAATGCGGCTTACATATTTTTGCATAACTGATTTATGTCAAGTGTGATATTTGAAACTGAAATGCGCAAGTTTACTTCTAAAGATTGTTGTGAAATGCATAACAGTAGTGCAACGATGGGGGGGGGGGCCCGGGTCCGGACCCCTCCCTTGAATCGTGTCGTATCTTTCTAAAATAATAAAAATGTTTGACAAAACTGAATAATTGATTCGATTCAGTACCGAGTAGAGCTTCTGTAATATTGTAATAATAAAAACGTTTTATAGTTGATAAGAACAAATCACGTGTAAGCTCGTATCGAGAATTCACCGTTGCAAAAGATTACCATATAACTGTTTCAAGTATTACCATAAAGTATTACCATCAGAAAGGAGACTCAATGGATTAGCTGCCCTTAATATCCACTACGAAGTCAGTGTAACACCAGAGGAAGTGATAAGTCATTTAAGCTCTACAAAACACCGTTTAGATTTCATTTTATAATTATAAATATTATACTTATACTTGTATTATTATACTTCATTTTATACCGTAATTTTATTGTTGTTACAGCAGTATAGGTACACATTGTACAAAACTTTATTTTTTATGTTTATAATAATTAAATTTGCATGCTACTTTAAAATAATTATATTTTTAGATCCCCCCCCCCTAAAAAAAAATTCTGGTTGCGCCACTGATGCATAATCTATGTTTGTTTTTTATAATTTGAAGTTGTGAAAATGTAGTTTCACAAAGATATGTCGATAAGGTATTGCGAAAGGTATTAGTATAAGGAAAGCCGTTTTCGAAATTATAGGATACTCTTGCTGTCGTTGTAACCAAAATTTAGTGAGTTATTTTTTTATTAAATTTCGTTTCAAGAGTTTTAAATGAAATAAGCCCTCTAGTTATGTAACCACGGCCCCCAGGTTGAGAAGCACTGCCCTAGGGTACCGTCAAATATTTATTTTATCCAAACTATTTCCTTTAGGCTTTAATTTATTTGTATTTATATGTGTATAAAGCTTAATACTATAATAACATGTTTTCAAAAGTGTATTAAAAAACATATTTATTATACTTTTGTACATATTAATGGTTAAGTTGTGTGAAATAGTACGTGTAATGGTTCTTTCCTATACGGTTCCAGTCTCTTGTTTCAATTTCAACATTAATTATATTAATTAGATATTATTCGATAAATTTACCCAAATAAAATAATAAAATATAAGTCGAGAAACAATCGATTTTAATAACTGTTCTTCGAACTTGAAATTTAATTAAGATAATTCAAAGTTAACGTAGAAGCTATAACTTACCAAATAAAAATGATATATAGTATACTAGATATATGCAATTCCAAACCTATATTTTAAAACTACTTATTAAATCGATACAGGTTAACTAATTATTTAGTTCTACAATTATTGGAAAATAAAAATAAACAAATTGCATTTATTTTATAGACCATTAATTCTACAAGCTTCAGATTTAAAAAATAAATATAATATAAATAAATTAAATTAAATCTGAAGCTTGTAAAATTAATGGTCTATTAAAATAATATAATATTTTATTTTTATTAAAATAAAACTTACATAGTACTCGTCTATATTTTTGTATCGATCAAATGCTAATCTGCTCCGTATAAACTATCCACTGAGAAGACTTTATGAAAATTAAAAATGGTATCAGCGATTGCGTGTGCGACTTTCTTTTTGTTTTTTTATAGTAATTTCTACATTAAATTAATGCATTTCTACGACTTCAATAACAGTTTAATAGGAATACAAATTATTAACTGTCATACGCTTAGTCCTTTCAAACACTATGCGGATAACAATTAAATAGTGTATTGATAATTCATATTATATTGTCTTAGCTTCTGACCGGTCTTGGTGACCGTCAAGAACAATTGCTTTTACCATTTAATTGAATGATGTAGTTATTTATTTATTTTAGTTCCCGGAGAAAACTCATTAATACGCGCAAATGCAAACAATACCTAACTATAATTTTTATTATATCTTTTGTTGTCGGTTTCTTATTAAAACATTTTAATACTTGATAGTTTTGCAGTTAAACACGCAATTCTACTCGAATCCGTTTCACTATATTATTATTTCTTTAAAACCTATAGTACCTACTACTAAATTTTTTTGCAAATATTTATTATTTTTTGGGTAGTCGTCAAAATTCTCTACAATGATATGTACAACTGTTCATAAGGTTGAAAGTCCAACATTGGAACTCACCACAGCCACACAATTGTATAGCGTTATGCAGAAAGCAACCATCCCACAATCTAATGAAAAACGAGGTTTTAGTAAAACCAGATAGAGAATTTCAATTTACGTATTCTGCAAAATACAACCAAACCAACATTGAAGTGTAGAGCTATCTATCAATGTTTCAAAAACTAACTGAATGATTATATCGATAAAAATTAATGCATAATACATCCAGACACATGGTTTTGTAATGGAGGTATGACTGATAATAATAATAAGATAATATCAATCCAAGTGGCTTGGTCGTTTTCTGTAAAAAATGATAATCATTATTTTACTATCAATGGATTGTTTTAAATAATAAAATTTAAATATGTTATTCTTTGTTATGACGATTTTATTCGTTATTTGTTATTTTAATAATTATAAGTAAGATTTTAAGTGTACCAATCGAAAGGTATCTATCTCTGGTGACAAAATCAATTGGCTACAAACAAGACGAATTAAATTATGCCGTAATCAACCATTTTCATTGTTAATGAGTACAACCTTATCGGATGAAAACTTTTTAGAAATAAATATTGAAAAACGTGGTCGTGGTAGAATATCAAATGACATATTATTTCCATCTGAAACCCTACTAATTATACTATGGCCTAATGGGAAAGAGATCAACCAAGCAAAGCTTGATGATATTAAGTCAATAATGCATCTCATACCTGCTGATGCTCAAGAATTTTATACACATTTTACAGGAAATGGTATCATTGTAGAAGATGTTAATGGTTTCAATGAGAATTTAGATATTGACATAGAAACTAATAATATTGATTAATAATACACTTTTTTTAAAATTTTGAATTACACTGTTTAACTATTTAATTGTTATAACTCAAAGACTGAGATATATTAAATGCTGTTAAGTTTAAAATTATTATTATGTTACTAAAAAAGGTTGTTGTACCTATTTGATTTTGTTTTAATAGATTTTTTTTTAATTTTGTTGTTACACATACCTATTGTTTTTTAATGATATAATTCAGACTGAGATAAATTAAATGCTGTTAAGTTTATAATTATTATTATTATTATTCTAAAAAAGGTTGTTGTATTTGTTTTTGTTTTAAGATTTCTTATTCATTTTGTTGTTACACATATTGTTTTTTAATAAAATAACTCAAAGACTGAGATAAACGTTACTATTTAAGTTTAAGAAATTATGTTTGATGAATAAAATTGTTAACTACCAAAGTTAGTCACATAAGTATATTTTATTAAAGATTAAAAAATATGTTATAGCATGCATTGAAAACAACCAACCATACCACATTTTTACATTAATCATAAAACAACCAACCGACATAAAGCAACCATACCACATTTTTACATTTATCACAAGACAACCAACCACAAATATTAAAATAATAG